AATGTGCTTTGAACTCGCTGTAAGATGACAGTCGAACTCTCCCCGGTTGCTCTCTCTCCCACCTTCCCTGATCTAGATCGAGGACGTGTGAATTTGGTCCGGGAATGTGACAATTAAATCGTCTTACACTCGTTCCTGTTTACGAAATAAATCATCGATTTATTAACTTTAGCTCGACAACCAGTTTCCCATTGGAGAGGGGGTGAGGTCCCGGCCTCACACTACAAAATAGATTATTTTTAATTAAATCGTTTGGAATACAGAGAAATTATTATTGAATAACATTTTTTACTTGCCTAAAATAAAGGAAATAATATAAGTGGTCATTAAATTTGTTATGACTACAATCATCGCTTTAGTGGCTAGGTACAAAACTAATAACTTGCATTTCTATAGTTTAGCATTAAGATTCATAGGAGTGGTGAAAAGTTTCTAGCAATGTAAACAAATGACCAATTTTCTCTGTTTAGAAGGTAGTTTTGATTATTTTTCTCCTATGATGTTTTCTGTTTGGGCCGAATCGGGCTAATGTAGTGTTTGACTCAGATCGGCCGAACTAATTTAACTTCGGATACGGTAGAGCCAGGTAAAATGATACAGGCCTACACACAGTGCCGTAACTAGGCAGGTGCAACAGGTACACCCGCACAGGAAGAGTGTCCCAAAATGCACGTGTTTGTGTTATTATTTTTCTAAACCTAATTATATATAGAACACTGAAGAGGAATTGGAAATATGAAACCAGTTCGAAATGCATATGTAAAAATATAATAAAAGAATTCATTAACCTGATGCTGTAAGATAGTCTACCGAAAGAATTTGTCGGATTAAAGAGACAACCATTCACAAACGAATATACAGCTTTAACCAGTAAATTCAAAAAAAAAATTAAACCTAATTAATTAAGGGGCCTAAATGCAAGTTCTTGCACAGGGCACAGGAATGGCTAGTTACAGCACTGCCTACACATATACCTATATTATATCTAAAAATTGAAATTTATCTTACTTAACAAAAAAAATAAATGAATATTTTTTAATTAAACTTAACCAAACGGTACATTATGTACATATTTAGAAAAAAGAAACGGCCCAAATTGTATACGGCTCATGTGGAATTTTCCACATTTTCCGCATGGCCAGTCCGCCCCTGACAATGCATTATTGAATATGAATAAATGCAGTTTTTAATTATACAAATGGATAATTTCTGTCAGCTGAGTCTGAGTATTGTGTTAAAAAAACGGGAATATTGGGATAATTAGATAAGTAATAGTTATAAGAAACAGTGCTGTGTAACTTTGAAGATTTCTTACAGACATATATTTTTATTACGGGCGTTGTAAGTACGAAAATAAATTTTATAATTTAAATTTTCATTTGTAAGGAGATTATTACTTAAGAAATATATAGTATTTTCTATTGTTGCATGCTTAATAAAATATGAATAGTTCTATTCGAAACAATACTGTATTGTTGTTTTAATTCACTATACTTATGCAATAATATTACTCAGATACGAAAGATTACATGAAAGTGAAAAAATCGATTATGCACTTAAATTTGATTATTGGAAGTCTCTTTATTTTGCGTGCAAGTTGCACCATTAGTAAAAACGATAACGAAGCGTCTAGAAGCGGAGGAACCAATAAGGATTCTTTTTACAAAACGAACAAATTGCCATTTCTAGACTTCAAGAACGATCATCTTAATATATTTAAACCTTATTTTAATTTATACAGTAAAATATACAGGCCATTCCAAGAATTCGACAGTAACAAAAAATACCGAATCTCAAAAGATCTAGAAGATAATTTAAGTGACGATAGAATAATTGGAAAACATAAGCGTAAATGGCCTAAATATCTAATTGGTCGTAGTAAAAAACGTGTTAAGGAAGAGAAAAACAAGAAAAAATTTAAAATTGAAGAGACACGAGAATTTTATATCATCGGAAATTCCAAGAATAAAAGAGTGACAAAAGAAATAATAATTCCGAATCGTGGAATAATCTTTCAAAAAACAGTCGAGCCTTCGTATAGAAGAAAGACTTACATCATCATCACTGGTCTTATTGGGGGAGTAGCATTGATTTTGCTCATTAGCTGCATAGTATTTATTTTAAATGAAGTAGGAATGAATCCAGTGTATATAAAAAATAAAATGTCTACTCCAGCTGATTATAATATCGTCAATATTTCCTCGTCTGATTACGAGCTTGATGAACATCCTAAAGAAACAATGGATAAATCTCAATATGTCGAAGTACCGTTGGAATCTGAATTAACGGTTAGACACAATACGGATATTGAGTTCGTGCCAAAAGTCAGCGTATTACCAGAAAATATCAGAACACCTGAAAATGAAGAACAGCGGAATCAAATTAGTTCAATGGAGATCGTTCCTCCACAGTTAGTAAAGGAAAAACACGAAGAATTAATGCTGAATAAGCGAGATGATGAGATTGTTGTTTCCATCCCTGAAAAAAGAATAAATGAGGAAATATATTATTATTCTGAAGAAACTTCTACTCCCGATCCCTTAAAAGAGTTATTAGCTGAGGAAGTTATATCAGGCGTTCCTCTTGAAATATCTGAGCCACACGATGAAGAAATGAGTAGAACAGAAGAGCTTTCCGTTCACAACCATGATTACAAAGAACAGTTATTTCTTAATTTTAGAAATGAAATTGCTAACAGGATTGGTAAGTTCGAATGTAAATATTGAAATAGCGTAAAATAATTTCTTATATAAATCATTTCCCATTTATACGATTGTTAAAATAAAAAATTTTTACAGATAAAGATGTAAAATGTCGGAAACGCGAACAGAATGAGAAGAAATATATATTTGAAGTTAGGACTAAACGTATAAGCAAAAAACATAAACCAAAATTAAGAAATAAGGAACCAAAACTAAATTATGAATATTCCGAAACAGACACTTCTGTTCGAAGTTGTTCTCTTTCTGATTTATTACCATCCTTTGTGACACCGAAACCGGAAAGTGATCTCAAATTAAACAAAAGGCTAGAAACGGTTCCGAAAAAAGAGACTAGAGTCATTGAAGGTTTTATTTTAAATGAAGCCAAAAGAGATAAAAACATCTATGCTCACGAAAACAAAATGATTCACGAAACAAACAAGCAAAGTCGATACGTCCAAACAATTCCGGAACAATTAAGCATTCGGAGTAAAGAATGGATGAGATCGCATCCTCCAAGAGGCTACCAAGAGGAAGATTTTAAATCCGTGTTTTCAAATAGACGGAATATTGTACACGAATCGTTAAATCTGTCGAGAATTCGTGAGTGTCCACAGCCACAATCTAAAACTAATGCCAAAGATGAGCGAGCTTTTCCAAATAGATATTATGAGAAATGTAGGCGTAAACCATTTATTTCAACAGATCCGCCATTTCTGAAAGTTGGCAGTGATAAATATGTTCATATTGCTAGACAAAGAAGAGAACAAAAATCAGAAAAAAATATCCGATTTTCTACCATGTCAAACGATAAACGTAAAGTTAGGAAATAAATCATTATCAATTATTACGTGATTTGATAATTTGAAATACCGTATATAATTTTCAAAAATTTCTGTAAAATAAATAAGTCGTAGTAAAGATTTACTTTTCGTTGCAGTTTTCTTTACACCCTTTGTATTACAGTCCGTCACAATGCTGGCTGTAATTTTTAATTTATTTAATTTGAAATATCGGCTTTGATTTCAGTTGATCGGCTAACGAACACTTTCGCGAAAGATTTTTATGATCGGACAACGAACACATGTTCGGATAACGAACACTTCACTGAACAAACACAAGAAGAAGCGACGTAAAATAACGAATACCGATTTGTCTTCCTTTGTCTTCAGGCAACAATTCGAAACTTTTCGGAGCGCGGGAGACGTCGACATCGGATCGGATAGTATTCCCCCGAACTTTGAAACCCTCCCTTGTATTTCCAGCCTTTTATATTTCTGATAGAAACGTTTTCTATCAGAAATATAACATTTTTTTCAGAAGAAAACGTCTTTTACGTTTCCTTCTGAAAAAGAGGATTGATGCCGATATATGCTATTAAAGATCTTTTGAAAAAGTGGGAGGCTGTCAGAACAACGGTCTTAAAATAGCATCCAAACCAGGTTGAGGTTAATAGGCCTAGGGATCTCTACAATTACAATGCTATTAATTAATTACTTCTGAAAAATCATGAAGAAGACAGAAAAGCAATTGACATTGGACAGATTCTTTAACCCCCACAAACGGAAAAATGACTAATAAAAATGCAAGACCGTTTATATATACTGTATATGTTTTTATTATTACATATGAATAAACGTAGTAAGAAAGTATATATTTTTTGTTTTTTGGGGGTCTCCAGAACGAATTAATCAAATTCCCATAGAAACCTATGATAAATCGATAATCGGTTAATGAACAATTCGAATAACGAAGAAAGTTTTGGAACGGATTATGTTCGTTAACCGATCACCCACTGTATTTTAATAAATGATCTACTGATATATATATTATATAATCACTTATTGTAAAGTAAACTTTGTTTGATATAAATACAGTGTTACAGATATAGAGTATACAGATACATGTTATAGAGATATATTTATTTTTACCACATGTTAGAATTTTGTATGTTAAGATGTCAATGTGCTCAAGTCGTTCGTTATTTGATTTACTGCGGTCGAAATTGTACATGGTTGTCATTTTACTGTACTAACCTGGTCGCCACCGTTCCTACTGTGACATTCCAACCATATGTTGATCGTATAGAGATTTTAAACCGGGCCTGTGATACAGCCGCGGATCCAGACTTCTGTCACGGGGGGCGATAAAACTTAGGCCGTGGCCATTGTAACGTGCGTTGCTACTTTAGATGTTTTATAGCTCGAACTTTCTATACATCGTTTACGTTTAAAAAACGACACTACGTCCCGTTCATTGTTTGTTTTCGTTTTGTTGCGCTTACACCAGTGCCGTGTCAGACGATTTTTAAATATACGTGTAACAGCTATATTTTCGCTATTAGTTTACGTTGACTGTGACCGGAACTGATATCAGGAGAGGTCGAATTATAACGTCAAGTAGCCCAACTGCATATCAAGAGCGTTATGAAAGAGCATTACAAAGTGGCTGGATTTCTCCAGCCACTTTGTAAGATAGCTTACAAATCTTTAGAGGCCCATAACTTTCATTTGTGAAAGAGTTTAGTAATTTGTCGTCAGAACCAAATACAGGTAGCCACCGGTTTACGCCGGCTCAATTTACGTCGATTCATAATAACGCCACCGCGCAATTCGCCGTTTCGCGGTGTAATTCCCCGATTTTCCCTATGCCAGACTGATTTTCATTTCAGTGTTGATGTATTTACCTAGCCGCGACATTGTACCTTGTACATTCGTTAAAACAAAGATTTTCATTGAATATATTTATTTTTTCTGTTTAATATTATTCGGTATGTACTGTAGTTTATGATGTAATTAAATTCTAGTTTAGGCCATAAATATATATGTTTTTCTCTAAATAGGATTTTCACGTTATTATATATATATATATATATATTATATTAATTTTAGTTATTTTCGTTGCAGTGAATGAACCGAGGTGATTGGTTATTTTTTAGTCTGATTGATGCATCATGTTCTTATATCCTTTTTCCTAACATTCTTGTTGTTTGTCCAATATAATGAACACTATTTGCACATGTGCATGACAATTTATATATGACGCCAGATATTTCTAATTTATTTTGTTTATTAATTATGCATTCAGTAAATTTATTTTTTAAATTAGCTGCTAATTCTATAGATGTTTTTTAAGATTTTTTTTGAATTTTTCGAGATTACTTTTAATATAAAAAAAGGACATATGTATTTACTTTTTCATTTTTAAATGTAACTTTATATCTGTTGTCTCTGTATTCGTTTGTCCATTTGTCTATTATTCTTTTTGGGTAGTCATTAGTAAAAACATCTTTAACTTTTGCTTCTTCATTTATTCTATCTTCACTGTATGTCGTATGTGTGTAAATTTTCTACAGTGTTGCAAATAAGTTGTTCTTTTTTATTTCGAAAGGACAATATGATTTGTAATTTATAGTTTGGTCTTGATATGCTTTATCACTATGAACTTATGTAATTATTATGCACATATAAAAAACTTTAAACTTGTAAAAAGTTTTATTAAATTACTTTTTATCATACAATAATGCAATATAAATACAAATATGATAATTTTTATGTGGTTGATTATTACAGTACTTCAATATAATAGATTGAAAGTTTTACATAGTGAAATAACACATTAATGATGTCTCCAAAGTTCAGCGAATTTGTCACAAAAATATTAATTTATCAGGAAGCACGCGAGCGCCATTCGATGACAACTCCACGACGAAAACAAGCTTAAGCAATGGCGTCGTCGAACGGTGCACACTCGGTAAGTAATCCTACAATTTTTTGTTTATATCATAGTTTATACGGATTATTCCCAAAAAATTATATGGAAATTATTTGGAAATGTTGAGTCAAATTAGTCTAGAATCGATTAATTTTATGGAAGAAAACCCTTAAAACAGCCGTAGTCCGTAAACTGCATACGTGCGGGCTGTGATTGGCTCATGTATTTAAGGACTCGTAGAACATCAATTTCAAAAAGAACGGAACGTATCTACCGTGTTATAGGGGGGTCGACTGTACTGAATATAAATGGGGTTTGCTTGCAAAATCCGCGTGGGCAAAGTCGTGGGTAACAGCAGAGTCGGTAGATTAACTGGTCTTTCGACTAATAGTTCAAACTTAGCTAGAGACAATATTTGCCGCTAGTCGGCGCCACTGTTAGCAGGAGATCGTTGTTCTTGCTAGGTATATACTGAAGTCAGTGATTTTGACCTATAATAATTGATTTTTTAGCTACATAAAAATGCCAACGTGCTTTGTGCCAGGATGCAAGGCAGGATATAAGTCATCGAACGAGAAGAGACATTTCTTCCGTGCTCCTAGCGATAAGATTGAGGAGTGGATGCGATGCATTCCACGAGACGACAAGATGCTAACAAATAAATGTTACGTTTGTGACGTACATTTTGCGAGTAGATTTATTTTAAAAACCTTCTCTCATGTTATAAATGGAGAGAAAGTAGAAATTCCACGAGATCGCTGGGCATTAACGTCGGATGCATATCCATCAAACTTCCCTAATTGTCCTAAGTACATTAGTAGGTCTGTACCTCAAAAACGATCAACGCGATGTCTCACAAGAAATGAAGAACCATCTAGGAAGGGATCACAAAAAGAC